TCTTTTCTCTGGACGTTTGTCCTCGCAGGGATACGGTATCGGTGGAGAACATTGTGAACCTGATGCACCAGGTGTCGATGGGCATGAAGTATCTGGAGGAGAAGAACTTTGTGCACAGAGATTTAGCGGCTCGCAACGTCCTGCTGGTCAATCAACAGTTCGCCAAAATCAGCGACTTTGGCCTCTCCAAGGCCCTGGGAGCAGATGACAACTACTACAAAGTACTCACAATTTTTTTAATATTGTTGCACCGCAAGACAAAGTTGCAGAATACAGAGTGATTAGAGTCCTGTGGGTTTTATCAGTGCATGCAAACAGAGAGTGTGTCTCAGATGGATTGCCCTTCTGGGAGTTGCTGACCTCACAATGTGCAAACAGTAATTAGCTCTTATTGACAAAAATGTGTCAGGTGCCCTGTTTGAACTAAACACTCAATTGATTTCCATTTTACTGATTTACTGACCCATATCTGGAGTGGATGTAGCAATCCTTCACTCCAAGGCCCTAAATACCATCGCCGATGTTTGCTTGCTCTGGCCGAGTCCTTGGCGTGCTTCTTACCATCATAAACGTTGTGTTCACAGGCTCGTACTGCAGGTAAATGGCCGCTCAAGTGGTACGCACCAGAATGTATACTCTTCCACAAATTCTCCAGCAAAAGCGACGTGTGGAGTTTCGGTGTCACCATGTGGGAGGCGTTCTCCTACGGAGGGAAACCCTACAAGGTAAGACAGATTACTGCAGGAGGTTATCAAAGAATGACGTGATCCCAGAGCTCACGCTGCCTGCGTTTGAATTTTTCCTCCAGAAAATGAAAGGACCCGACGTGATCCGCTTCATTGAGAACGGGAGCCGCATGGATTGTCCGGCGGCGTGTCCAGAGCGAGTATATACACTGATGAAAGAGTGCTGGACATACAAGTGAGAAACCGATGGTCTTGTGCGTGCGTTATACAAGAGAGGCATAAACAGAGGTTGTCTGTATGTATGCACAACAAAACAACAAGAGTTCATGTTTCCACAATAAGAAACAAACTGGGAAAGAAACGGTACATTCAAAGTCCGAGCTCAAATCCAACTGAGATGCTTGAACACACCGTTAATGCTTTAGGGAGCAGTTAGTCTTTCACGCAGGGTCTGTAGGTTTGGAGCTTTTTTCCCTGAATAAAGTAAAGATACTTAAAT